AACATCCTTTTATGACCGCTATTCACCATTCTCACTAGGCTTTGGCTTAGGGATGCAGCCCGAGTCCACCAATGAGCGGTAGTCAACGAGAAAGAGATTGTCATATCCCCAGCGACGCAGCGCTGCTGAACAATTGAAACCCCGCTGTTGGTTAGAAGCAACGATGAATAACTCCGATCGCTCTTTTTGCTGCGGAAGGATTGGACAGGCTGCTCCAGAGAGCAAATCGTGGTGGTGAATTGCAACAGAACCGGGGACAGGATAGAGTTTCCTCTCCACCGAATCACGTACATCAATTACAACAACGCCTTTCTGGCCAGACATCATCTGTCGCATTTTTTGAACATCATGCACCGTCTTGGTAGAGCCAACGACGCTGTCAAGAGCATATTCGGACGTGATATACGAGGGGCCGTAACGTTTGTTGAGGTTTGATACCTTCCATGCTGTCTTTGGAATCCACTGAGCCATTGCTACTGACTCCCAGCACTTGAACAACCATAAAGGAGTGGAAACAATTATAAGAACACCGACTGAATTTATGTATAACAGCCAGAGGGAAAGAGGAACAACTAATGAAGGAACACATACTGACTATCAACTCCCACCGAGTTCAGTGCCTTTTCTAGACACATTCAACACGTTCTCTGTGCAGTGATCCCATCAATGGGTCCACTTTTTTTTTTTTTGATAGCAACGCACTTTAGCTTCGACCTTTTCCTCCTCTCGCCGCAATCACTCCATCTGTTTCTGGTAGCTCTGTCTTTGCAGCAGCTGCTCGACCTTGGTGGCATGGCGAAATGGATTCCCCAACCCGGATGGAAATAGTTTCGTAAGCACGAAGTTGCACCCAAGTCGAATTACTTCACAACGCAATCGTCTCTGCTTCGCACCGTGAGAGAGTTGAAAAACCTGCAGTTTTTTCTTATACATGGCTTTATTCAACACCTCGAGGATCTTCAAACAAAGGCATTGGCATTAAGAGGCGTCAGGGTGCTCTACTGGGGTGGACGATACGGGCCCTGCCTGCCAACCCCGTAAAGGAGCGGCACAGGGGCTACTGATACAGCGTAAGCCACCAGACCACTTGGAACTGCCAGTTTTTCCGCGTCGTCCGAGACCCATTCCATATATGCAAACACACACAGCTTCCACCATGACATACCTCTCTAGTGCGATCAATCTATCGATACGGATAGCTCAATATCGCGAGGAAAGGAACATGCACTACACACCAGCAGATATACATACTCTCGGTCTCAATTCAAAAGCACGGACACCAATTGCGGGTGATCTGTGTGCATCTGCGCCTCCTGCTTTTGTCGGTTAATTCTGCTCTCTTTCCCTTCACTTCTCTGCCCATGACACCATAAGCGCCTCCTGAACACGATAGAAGCGCCCCTTGATGAGCGCTGCTTGTGCCTCCAAGAGACTGATTTCACGGTCCGTTATGTCCTTTTTTCGGAGAATGTCGTACTGCAACAGCATAGCTGAAAAAGACACGGCAGCCACAGATCCCACAAGGAAACCGGCAACACGGGGACCCATATGTCTCGTCTTATTTTCACCTGAGCACACGCACACAAAAAAAAGAGAGGGGAATCGGGCGGACAAGGGAGAAAAATAAATAAAGAGGATTGCATTATTAAGAATGCAGCAGCACTGGTGAAAACCAACTGACCCTAAAGGAAGAGAGTCACCATGATCGAAAGAACAAACAGCATTAAGCATTTTCCCAACTGCATTTCTACATCCACCAGGAATATATAAACAAATAATCCCAAGGAACTCATGCTTCACTTCACACATATACTCACTTAATCCCATGCTGTCACATACATCACATGCGCGCCACCTCACAACTTTTTTCCCCGAGTCGCCCCACCATATACAGGATTGTAGCAGTGCAAAGGACGTCTTGAATTCGTGCTGACGCTTGGGGCAAGATTAGGGGTTCTGCTGAGCTCTCTCCCTATGTCACGTTCTGCATACATCTCCATCAATCGCAATATAAAACCGTCAGTCTGCTGTCCGTCTCGTGTTGGAGAGGCGATTACTTCCGCCGTCGTTGGCGCTTCTTCCCTTTTCATGATGAGTTTTGCAATTTGACTGCATTGCTCTTTGGAGGACACATCAACGCCTTCACGAGTATAGCGACCAATATACTCTGGGTTTAGCTGAAGCGCGAGAAACACCAGCTGTGCCGCAAACTCTGCTGCAGGGCGACCCTCCTTTTCGTATGTGTCGTACAACCGCAAAAAAGAGAAGTAGTGCTCAGAGCGGCTCGGGTACTGGCTCACTGCACCACCAGAGAATGGAAACTGCATCTTTGGTTCACTTGAGAAGTGATGCGGCGATGAGACCTGTGACGAGACGGGTGAGAAAGCCTGCCGATTAGATGCCGCATTAAGGATGGCTCGTTTCGAGGCTTTGCGATCCAAACTTGTTGCATGCATTGTTATCTTGCGAAGTATTTCCACAACCAGTGAGCTACTGTCATTCCATCGTTCATCCGGTGAAACTGGCGGGACATGGAAGTCTGCTGCTTCACTGACGGACGGTGCCTCGGCATTCCTTACCATGTTGTCATAAAGGTCCTGTGGTACCAGAGCATGAACAGTGGTGGCCAAAGGCTTCAGCCACACCTTGACGTAATCTGTCACCATTCCTAACCCATTTTCATTGAGTCGACTACCAAGATTCGGTAGAAGCGGGTCCATTCCTCGCCGTTCTTCTTCACACGCCTCACGGGCCCACTCAGATGCCATAAGGCCACCCAGAGTGATGAACTGTTGGCGTGGTCGCAACGCCAAAGCATTATCTGCCAGAATAACCACTCCCATCAATAAAAGCGGTATGTCGTTGAATGTTACCGCATTGGAAACCGCCACCTCTTGCAGTTTCCGAAGCAAGGATTCCCGTCCACGTGGTGCGGTCCCCAACACTGTTTCAATCAACAGCTCTCTGAGGTATTGGGAAAGAGGTTGAGCGCCAGCGTTAGCTGAGAGGTCAATAAAACGATTCTCCTCTCTATTCAGAAAGTACAGGAACGCTGTGAGACTGGCTGATTGTTGTGTCGTCATATCCCCATACACAAGAACAAGGGGGTGGTCCAGACGCGCCAGAAAGGCATTTGTCACACCAGGATGGGCAAAACTCAGACAAAGTGTGGCAAGAAAGGCCACAATAATTTCGTCATCTGTTAACATCAATGTTGCTGGTTTTTCTCGCAGCATGAGAAACAACATTTGGACTGAGTCGGCGGCATGAAGTGCGTTATGATACGCATTGTCTGTGGAGTATTTCTCAAAAAGATCAGAGAGGAAGCTGAGTAGCTTCTCCGCGTCCAATGTGCAGCAGTAGGAAAAATTTGCAAACACGCTGGAACACACTGAAAGGAATATTCTCCGTGGATCCTCCATGACTTCTCCATTAAAGTCTATGACATCACGACTACTAAAATCGGTGCTCTCCACCTCCTTCACATACTTTAGTGTTTGGTGCATGATCTCGTTCATCCTTGAGAATGTCTCAGTGGGATCCTGAAGCACCGGCGTACTGCGCTTCAACTTGACCCTAATGCCAGACCAGTTAGTTGGATTGCTGTCCATTATACTAAAATTCTCCACTCTCCACTGGGAAGCAATACCACCAAAAAGCATGCTACGTGCTGGAGCACCACCGTTGAACAGAGCATCACTGTAGCAGCCGTCTCCTCCGTCTTGGGGGCCCTGGACAACTGCCTCAGAGACCGCATTGAGTGCACTGGTTGAGAGCTGCCCCAGCGCCTGCTGCCGCCGCAGAATGTTTTTGCGAGACATCTGAACAACCGTTGACGCCTTTTTCTACCTGCGCTTTTATTACAGTAAAAAAGAATAATAGTAGGAAGAAGAAGCAACAGAAAAGGGGGTAAAAGATACCAATGTGCTTGCGTCAGTGCTCCTCCCTAAAACAAAAAAAAATCAAAAACATCATGCACACTCAAATATCGGCACACAGCTACACCCATTTACTGAGAGTTTTTTTATTAACGAGAAGCCAGAGGATGAATGCGACCTTAGAGATTCACCACCAGAACTTTCCTTTCCCCTAACCTATATTTTTTTCTTCAATTTCTCTTTTTCGCTCATCACTTCACTCTCCACCTAACGGTGCTGTGGAGCTATGTCGTGCATCACGACGACCGTGAGGAGCGAGAGCGAGAGCGAGAGCTGCTGCGGCTGTACGACCGGCGACGGTGCTTGCGCTCTCGCGAGCGTTCACGGCGCCGACCGTGGCTGCGGTCGCGCCGCCTGTCGCTGTAGTGCCGTGAGCGGCTCCCCGATCTGTGACGTCGGCGGCGGCTATCGTGGCGCCTGGTGTCGCTGCGCTCCCGGCGCCGCGTGACTCCCTGCTTTGGCATTGCTGTCGTTGTGGATGCTTCCACCACGAGGGCACGTCCGCGGAACTCCTTCCCATTGAAGGTCTCCACGAACTGCGTCGACTCGGATGGGGCGA